TGCGCGCGGGGCCCGGACCCGACCGCCCGGCCTCGGGCCGCCGCCGCGCTGTCCACCGTGTGCATTAGAAGCGGGCGCCAGAATCGGTGGAAGGTTCCGAACCGCGTCGCCGGACTGTGGGCCGGGAACGGTGGCCCAGGAAAGCCGGTCTGGGGTGGGGTTGGGGGCCGGGGGCGCAGAGGCACCCCGGGAGCAGGACGGCGGGTAGCATCTGTTCTGTTCCAGCCGGTTTCACTCTGTTCTCTGTGAGCTGTGCTTTTCCGGCTTTGCGCTTTTGTGTTATAATCAGGAAATCGCTAGTGGCCAAGCTTTTCTTCTAGAAGTTTTGTAGTTTTAGGTTTTACATTTTTGTCCGGCTTCCGAGAGTGAAATTTTGTGCAGCGTGTGAAGTGTACGGCTCCTGTACACGGATTTCCATTCTAACAGAAAATCGTCAGGCTAGCTACTCCGGAGGTTGACTTCTAAGGATTAGAGTTCAAAGCCAATTCTGAACAGGAAAGGGAGACTCTTATCTCCAGTTAATCACCAGAAAGCTGAAAGTGGAGCAGTGGCTCAAATGGTAGAGTTTCTAGCCTTGAGCACAAAAACTCAGGAACAGCACCCTTGGCCCTGACATAATTATATTTCTGAACGGATTTATTTCTGAACTTCTTTATTTTGTTGATTTATTGGTATGTGGTGGGCATCACTGTCCTGATTATTAAGGCTTTATTATAAATCTTAAAATCAAATAATGCTAGTCTCTAGAGTATGCTCCTTTTCACAGTAGTTTTGCTGTTGTAAAATCCTTTGTGGATCTTATATTTGTATTAGGCCCATTGATCAAATTGAGTAGAATTAATACCTTAATGATCTTCAGTTCTCTGGCCAGTGAAAAAGTATACCTCTATTGATGTCTCTAATATATCTCAGCATGCTATTTTTTACTTTATTAATACATAAAGTTTGCACATCTTTTGACAAATTTGTCCCTAGCTATTGAAGTTTGTTACTATGTAAATGGTAGTTCTTTTACTTTCAGTTTGAGTTTTCATTACTGTTATATAGAAATGTGTTTTTGCAACCTTCAGTCTTGTGAAATTAGTTCCAGCAGATTTCGTGTAAAGTCCATTACACTTTTCTGCACAGTCCATCCTGTCATGTGAAAATACAGTTTTACTTGTTCCCCCAATGAATGCCTTTCATTTCCTCTTCTTGCTCTCTCTACCAGCTGGGATTTCTATCCAGTACAGTTTTGAATAGAAGATATTCTGTCTTGTCCCTGTTCTTAGGAGGAAAATTATCTTTCCAAATTAATTGTGATACTAGCTATATTTTCCTCATAACTTCTTACCAGGCTAGGGATGTTCTTTTGTATTCCGTGTTGGCTGAGTTTTTATCAGAATGGACCACCAATAAATGAATGTTTTTTTAAAAAAAATAGTATTTATATTCATAGAGCTTTTTTTTCTCCTAATATCTTTGTCTGACTTTGGTATAACAAGCCTCTTGGGATCGCTTTGTTCTCTTCAGCTCTTTGCAATCTTGAGTAGAGATATTATTTCTTCCTTAAATGTTTGATTGAATTCACCTGTTAAGCCAAGTAGGCCTGGAGTTTAACTCCTAGAGTGACTTATTACTTGTGTATGTGAGGGGTAACTTCTGCAAACCTCAGGTACCCAGAGCTATTCAGCCTTCTATGCTGTAGAGACTGAGCATTCCTACTTGAAAATTTGAAGTTCATATTGGAAATCTAAAACTTTGTACTAACAAAATAGTGCAGATTCTGGGACATGTCTGGTACTCAGATTAGGGTGCTCCACAAGTAAAGTCTATTCATTTTCCAAAATCAGAGTAACTCTGAAATCTGAACTAATTTTGGTCCCTTCTGTTTAGGGTATGGGTACTGAGCGTGCATTTTGTCCTGCTGTTTTCAGTCAGCTGGTTAGGGTCCTTTTGCCCTACCCAGATAGGAATCATGGGTAGATAAGGAAAAAGTCTTCCAGTGCTGGTATCCCAGAGCACAGAATACCAAAGAAGAGTCTGACCTGGTGGACCCAGAGACTTACCTGTCCAAGCCTTGGGAGCTAGGTACCTGTCATTCCAGGCTTTAGAAAGCAGAGAGGCACATGGATTGGAGACATCAGCCTGGGCTTTACCCCTATTGTCCCTGGCACGTGGCAGCTGTTTACCACCCTTGGCTTTCAGGAGCAGTGAACCTCAGTGAATCACAGTGCAGACCCAGCAAGCAGCAGCAGGTGGCAGAGTGGATAGGGTTACATCTTTGTGGCTTCTGTAGTCAGGACCTATGGCCTCAGACACCTGTGGTGCCTTAATGTTTGTCAGTTCCCTGGAAGTCTTCCAGCTACAGGGGCCATGATTTCTCTTCTCTGGTTCTTCACAGCCTTCTTTCCTTCCTCGTCACCTCTTTGGTTGTCATCCCTCGTTGTCTCCGTTATTTCTGCCCTGGCATGGCATCCTAGCACCATTACTGTCACCCTTACCACTGCTGTTGCTCTGCTGCTGCTTCCTCTGTCCTGTCTTCCTGTTACCAGCTTAGTCTGCTCTACTAATGATAAAGATTAAAAGAAGGCAGAAAACAGACCCTTTAAAAGAAGCCGTTTGCTTGGGCATCATGTTGCACTACCCAGGGGACAGAGTGAGCCAAAGAGGAGATGTGGTAAAGGTGTTTGTACCGGTCACAGCTGGCCTTTATACGAATGACGTCTTTTTTTGTACCAGTCACTGGCCTCTTGGGGAAGTACCCCTTGAGTTGGTGAAAATGTTTGAAGGACTGTTAGAGTTCACCAACGCTTGTGATGACAGGAAGTCTGACATGAGCTGTTGGTCATGGTTGGGACAGTGCCATCTGAAGCCAGAATTGTGCTTCAGCAGAGTAACTGTCCAGGGATCCATGAATGTTCAAAGCAGCTGGGCTGGCAGGAGGGCCATGTGGCTGGTTGTTTGTTTGGCTGATGACTCTTCACTCAAAACAGCCAGGGCACCAGAGAATGGTATGACTGCTGTCAATTAGGAGATCAAACTGCTGGCCCCCAACACCCTAGTTTACACAAAGAAAAATAATAATAAACATTAAGAGAGATGCTTACCAAGAACAGGCCTGAGGACCAGTAGAATAGAGCTGAAAACCCAGAAACAAATCCACAGACTTATTGCCACCTAATCTTTGATATGGGAGCCCAAAAAACAAGATGGAAGAAAGATAGCCTCTTCAACAAATGGTGCTGGCCGAATTGGCTAAACGCATGTTGAAGCAGATCACACAGTGTTTTAAATACAACTGGTACCAGACACCAGTGGCTTACACCTATAATCCTAGCTACTCAGGAAGATGAGATCAGAGGATCACAGTTCAAAGCCAGCCCAGGCAGGAAAGTCCATTTTCTCCAACAAACCACCAGAAAACCGGAAGTGGCAGTATGGCTCAGTGGTAGACTGCTTGCCTTGAGCTCAGGGACAGCACCCAGGCCCAGAGTTCAAGCCCCACAACACACACACACACCACACACATACACACACATACACGGTAACATCACAGAACCCACAGAGTCAGTAAAGTGGTGTCATGCTCATAGGATTAGAATAATTTAAAATTTATTACTAATCATGCTTGATCAAAATGTATGTAAATTCATGAGTCAAGTGGGCTTACTGTACTGGAAGAAAGGAAATTGATAAGTCTGCTTACATGTGTTGGAACTAAAATTTTAATAAAGATTAACAAATTGATTGCAGCAATGAATCTATATGAATGTAGGTATTTACACACATATGGTCATCTTAACTAGTGGGATCATTGTAAGCAATAAAAAGGTAGTGTGCCATTATAAAATTATTGCACACAGTTTATAAGAAAACCCTAGATTAAAAAAGACAAATCCAGTTTATCAATTGAATATTCAACAGTATAAATGAGTCAGTTCTCCACAAATTGACAGGTAGATTCAATGCAATCCATTTGACAACCTAGTCTGTGTAAAAGAAAACAAGTTTATAGAACATTAAAGTAGGAAATTTATTTTGTTTTTTTGTTGGTCATGGGGCCCGAACTCGACCTGGGCACTGTCCCTCTGCTCCTCAGCTCAAGGCTACCACTCTACCATTTGAGCCACAGTGCCACTTCCAGTTTTTTCTGCTTATGTGGTGCTGAGGAATTAAACCCAAGGCCTCATGCATGTAAGGCAAGCACTCTACCACAGAGCCACCTTCCCAGCCCCAGGAAATTTAATTTTATTGGGTATTAAAGTGTAACTATTAGTTAGATAAAAATGGATAGATTCTTATCTCATTGGAATAGAATCAAATCTGCACACCCAACATAGACAGTACAAATGAATGGGAAAAGTAATGTCAAGGAACTGGTGGTGAGACCCTAGTTTATCCGTATAGTAGAGAAAGATAAGGTCTGCTGGGATGGCATGGTCGAATGCCTCCTGGGCTCAGATCACAACAATTCCAAATAAAAATGTTTGCTTCATAAAGTCTTGGACTGGGGGTAATGGGGTCATACTGTAATCCCAGTTACTGGGAGCAGAAGTGTAGGATTGCAGTTTGAAACCATCCAGGACAAAACGACTCAGAAAATAAGCTGAGCATATGTGTGTGTCTGTACTCACAGCTAGGCAGGAGGTGGAGGTATAAGGATTATGGTCCAAGGCTAGCCTAAGGGGAAAAGTATGAAAGCCTACCTACAAAAGTAAAGAAAAGTTGGAGGTGTGACTCCTAATACACACAGCCTTGAGTTCAAACTTAATAAAATAAAAATGTCTTTCATATAGATAAGGAAAATGATCATTTCTCAGCCTGATTGGAAGAGTAAATTCTTGGGCTTGGAGCATATTTGAAGCAGTGTAGCAAGCACTTACCGAGCAAAAAAGGAGACCCTGAGTTCAACCTAATACAGCCCCCCCCCCAAAAAAAAGAAAAAGGAAATAAATTCTCTTTAAACTTAAAAATAATGAGAGCCATATGCTGATAGCCCTTACCTTCATAGATACTCAGACAACTGAGATTTGAGGATTGTGGTTTAAAGCCAGCCTGGGCAGGAAAATCCATCAGCTTTTTATATCAAATTAACTACCAAAAAGCCAAGAGTAGAGCTGTGGTTCAAGCGGTTCAGCACTAGCCTTGAACATAAAAGCCAGAGACAGCAGCGAGGCTGTGAGTGCAAGCCATAATAGGATGTGCTCGTCTTTTCAGGATAGGGGGTATTTTTTTCAGTAGGACCTTCTCTTTTTTGTGGCTCCTGCCTAGAGTAACCCTAGCTACTCAGGAGGCTGACTAGGTTCCATCACTGTGTGCCTGGTTGCAGAGCCCGTCATGAGAGATGCTGAGATAGCGACAGATAGGCAAGAGATGGTGGGAAGGGGAGGTGGCTCCCTAACAGCATCAGCTGGGGACCAAGTTGGTACCACATGGCCCTAAGGGGTGGGTTAAGATCAAAGCTCTAGCAGAAAACATACCTGGTGTTGAATCTACTTGTGCTCATAAAAGGGGTTGAATCATGATAGTGAAAGACTAAAATTTATTCTGTGTTATTCCCAGTTTCCAATATTTTCACTCATACCCCTGATACTTGTATGTTTCTTGTAGACATCATTGTGTTAAGGAAGTCTTCTAATCTTACTTTGCTGACTTTATCTTGACTGCTTTTGAAATTCATCCGATGCTTTTCAAAATGCTTGATCTCGATAATGTATCTTTGACTTTGTTTTCTAAGTTTGTTTTCTATTTCTTGACTTCTGAGACAGTCCTTCTTGCCTTATGCATTTAACTTTTGGAGGCCTCTTGGGCTTTTCCTAACACTTGGTATTGATTTGTAGTGTCAGGCTTATTCCTGGTACAGGCTTCCCTGGTCTGAAAGTCCAAGTCCAAAATGTTCCACAATCTAAGACTTTTTCAGTGCTAACACATGATGAATATGAAGAGCATTTGGACTTTTGATTTTCAAATTAGAAATGTTCATGAGGAAAAGTGTATACATATATTCTAAGATCTGGAAATTTAGAGGTCTGGAGCACTTCTTGTCCCAATCATTTGAATAGGGGTTACTCAGCCTGGTGTACAGCTAAAGCAGCGGTTATGGGGTACATCACTTAAACTACTGTTCAGATCAAAATACATTTATTTTGTAACTCCTCAGGAGTTTGATGGGCTATTTAAAAATGATTTCTTCCGTATCTGTGGAGGGTTTCTTACCCTTCTACTAGACTTTTGGTTCTTGAGTGTAGTTTGTGCTTTATCTGATAATAATGCTTTTTGTCTTTATTGCTTTGAAAGTTATTTAGACTTGCCTTACTGATAGCAAGTAATGAATTTGAAGTGTTCGAAATGATCTTGGAAAATAATACGTGATTGCATATTTGTTAGTTGATATATCCTATTATTTTTCATTTTCTTGATGTGAATAAAAATATGGCATCATATTTAGTGAGAGCTCTTAGCTTTACTCCAGACCTTCTTTTTCATTGTCTCCTGTCACTCTCTTTTATTTACTTATTTTTTTGTCTTGACATTTCTCTTCAATGTAGAGGGTTATTCTGAAGGAATTAAAAGCTGATTTGAAGACGTGGAGAATGTGACTATAACTCTCCAAATGGGTCCTAAAACATATGTGGGTTGTATTTTTTTTTAACTTGACCAAACTGAAGAGCAAGCTAGGAGAAACTGAGTATTCAAACTGAGGAAGCCAGAAAATATGTGTGGTTTTTTTTTTTTTTTTAGCTGTTTTTCACATTGGTAGGCATTAGTGGGTTTCAGAATACAAAATAACCTAATTTTAAGTTCTAAAATGTTATATTGAAATTGATGGCTCTTTTACTTTGAAAAGTAGTAACAAGAGCCACTATAAACATTGAACATTAGTGAACTTAAATTGGTTTTTCACAATGTGTTTCAGATCAAAAATTATTAAATGAAGTCCTTACACATCATCAAATGGATAATTTTTCTAAATTCTCAACTAAACAGGTATGTAAATTAGGATTACCAATATGAAGGCAATATAAAGTCTACTTAGGATTATTTTCATGTGAAATTGAATTTTCAGTTTTTCTTACACCTTTGATTGTTGTAATGACAAAGCTTATTTTCACTTAAAATTTTTTTCCCAGAGTTGGAACTGATATTATGTACAATCTCAAAATAACAAATTTCTAAAGTGAGAATTCATCAAGTTTGAAATATCCTAAATTGTTTCTCAATCTGTATCTAGCTGTAAGCTGTAACTCCTGTCATTCTTAGGAACGATGGCCTGGCCTGAGAGGTAGGAAGAGCAGCAGCTAGTAGTAGAGACTGCAGACTGTGAACATGTGAAGAACTTACAGCCAACCTAGTACTAAATGGGGGAGAATTTAAAGCAGCCCCTCCAAAATAAGGAGGGGGACAAGAGTGGGTCTACTCCGCCAGCACAATAAGGCATGGTGAAGAAATAGAAATAGATGCATAAGAAGTCAAATTTATTACCTTAAAAACCCCAATAAAAAAACTTGGATGTTATTACCGTTTGAGCATAGTATAGTGTATAATAAAATCAATATAACAATCTTTCTTCTTTACCATCAACAATATACAAAGAAAGAAAACAGGAAAACTAACTAAGTTGGTAAAAGACACTCTATGATAAAAAGTATAAAACATTGAAAAAGAAGTCAAAGAAGACACTGGAAATGGGAAGACTTCTCATTCCATGTCTAACCAAACTGAAAGCAATCTAAGATCTAATGCCATCCCCATTAAAATCCCAGTGAACTTCACAGTGGTGGAAAAATCAAACTTAAAATTCATGTGGAAGCACAAAATATCCGGGAGAACAAAGCAACCCTGAGCCAAAAAGAGCAGTGCTAGGGTAACACAATGCCTGACTTCAAATATACTACAGAACCGTAGTAATAAAACAGCCTAGCATGGGCACAAAAACAGTTATGTAGACCACTGGAACAGAACAGGGATCCAGAGATGACCGAGCCATATCATTTCAGAATTTTGACAAAGGAACCAACAGCCTACATAGGAGAAAAAAATAGCCTTTTCAACCATGGGGCTGAGAAAAAGACAAACTAGATTACTCTCACCCTGTGCTAAAACCAATTCAGAATGAGATCAAAGACCTTAATGTAATGCCAGAAGAAGTTTTGAAACTAGTATTGGAAAGGGGAAAATGGACAGGAACTTCCTGAATAGAACTTCAGTAGTTTGGCAATTAAGAGAAGGATTGTCAATTGAATTATATCCAAGTAGAGCTTCCGAACAGCAAAGAAAACAGTTACTAGAATGAAGAGACAGATTACAGAGTAGGAGAAAAATTTTGAAAGCTATTTATCTGTCACAGATTAATAAGCAGAGTGTATAAACAACTAAAAAAATTAAACACCAAAAGAGCCAATAATCCAGTTAATAAATGGGCAAATACACTGAACAGTCCAGACGAGGAATACATAATGAAGAAAAAATTTTCATATTTCTATTATGTGAGCCATGACTATAGCTCTTTTCTTCATATTTCTAATTTACCACAAGTGTATAATGATGTATGGCTGTTATATCAAATGCACTTCAATTTCATAAAGGTGATTTTTTTTCTTTTTCTCATTTTTGAATTATATTGCTATAATTTATAATATAAAAATTTGAATTGGGAAGTGGCGCTGTGGTTCGAGTGGTAGAGTGCTAGCCTTGAGCTGAAGAGCTGAGGGAAAGTGTTCAGGTCCAGAATTCAAGCCCCATGACCAACAAAAAATTTGAATTGTACTTAATTTTCAACCACTGTCAATATTGGCTAGAATCATGCATGAGAAAACATTTTAAAATAACACTTTTCTGTTCTAGAAAGCTGTCCTCAAAGGAGATGGAGATGACACATTAGTAAACTCAGTAGTTGACCAAAGGTAAAGTATCACCAGAAATATTATTTTCATAGTTATATTATCAATTGAAAAATTCCTTTAATTTCATGATCTTCTGTAGTTTATAAGAAAATACTATAGAGTCTGTAAAAGTGACTTTTCCTGATCCCTCAGGAGACACTCAGAATACTTGAAAGCATGTTAGTTTACTACGGCAAACTCTGGAGAGGGAGGCTGCTACTGGAGTGTTAGGGTATGGAGGTTGCGCACTATTAAACAGCCTGCAGTGCTCAAACCATCCTACTCTGCTGCACACACGCAACCAAGACAGTTCCCGCCAAAGTATTAATTGTGCTAAGATTAAAAAAAAATGTGTGCTTGAAGCTGATAGCCAGTGGCTCATGCCTGTAATCCTAGCTCCTCAGAAAGCTAATACTTGGAAGATTGTAGTTTGAGACCACCTCAAGAAGAAATTACTTGAGCCTCCATCTACAGAATGCCAGGGAAGAGGCAGGGCTCCAGTGGTAGAAGCCCCAGAGTACATATAGGCACACAAACACCAATTTTGGAAAAAGGGTAAAATACAAATTGTTATGTGAACACAAATTTTTATGTGAAATTTTTTCACTTGTTATATATTTATTAAACTGAATGGAGGGGCTGGGAAGGTATCTCAATAGAGTGCTTGCCTTGCATGCAGGAGGCCCTGGGTTCGATTCCTCAGCACCACATACACAGAAAAAGCCGGAAGTGGCGCTGTGGCTCAAGTGGAGAGCAGTAGCCTTGAGCTGAAGAGCTGAGGGACAGTGCCCAGGCCCGGTATTCAGGCCCCACGACCTATCAAAAAAAAAAAAAAGATTTTAAGCTGAATGGAACTAAATATACTAGATTTTTAATTCTGGGTTGTTTCCTTTAGCTTTTTAGCTCTTCTTATTACTGAGTATGATAAACATCTGGAGGCACTAAATGAACAGCTAAAATACTATCAGGTATGACATCATAAACTTCCACATTTTATGGAGATAGAAAAGTAATAGATTGTTTTAATTAATGAACTGATGAATTGAAAAAGTTTGTTGTAATTATATATAAGTATGTGTGTGTGTGTGTTTAAAGATTATCCTTAGTTTTATTATTTGGGTTCGTTATTTTCTTGTTCTGTCAGAAGCTTCTCTTAGAAGAATGTAGAAGAATCTCTTAATCACATTGTTCTTTGCTTCTGTTTTCTTTAAACTGTCTCAGACCTTGAGTGTTATCCTCATTCCTCCTGTATTTATCATTTGCAGAACAAACTTTTTCAAATATTGTCTCTTCACAAACATCTTTGACTGATATCTTTTAGATATTATTGATATAATGTAGGCCTAAACTGTCACAACTATTTGTCTGTCTGTCATCTTTAGTCATGTAGTTGAAGAACGAAGGGCCCAACGCCTCTGACCTACGCTCGTGGGAAGCTAGAATAACAGCATAGAAATGTTCAGGATACAGACTGGGTTTCAGTGAATTTCATTTGTCAAATACAACTAATACTTATGACACATTTCTTTCAACTGAAATGTCTTTTATTTTTTCCCGAGAATTTCTAATACTAGGGTACCAAGCAATAGAAGCATTCCCTAGCTAGAACATATATGTCTCATGCTAAGCCTGCCAGCAGGTGATGATAGCTCTGTATTTGGATTAATTCAGTATGGTAAGGATAGCAAAGTGACATTTGTGCACAGGTAATGACTGTAAAAACAACACTTGAGACAAAAAGTTTTCTCCGAATGATGCTGTGAGAGTGGCAGACCCTAAATACTTTGACTGTTTCTCTTCTCTTGGTACATGGACATAGTATGCTGTGTTCCTCAGCTTCTTGTCACTGGGACAAAAAGCCTTTGAGAAATCCACTTAAAGGGAGAAAGGTTTATTGTAGTTAATGGTTTTAGAAGTTCCAATCCAAGGTCAGCTGGCTCAATTGCTTTGGGCCTGAGGAATAACAGAATACCATGGCAACAGGAACATAGTGAAGTGAGGACTCAGTTCATGGTAGCCAGAAAGGAGAAGGACACAAGACCCAGACAGGGAGAGATATGTGCATGTGGGGACACACACACACACACACACACACACACACACACACACACACACACACACGAGGAGGGGAGGAGAAGGGGACCATGGACAAAGTATGCCTTCAAATTCAGGTCCTCCAGTGACCTACTTCCTCCAGTGAAGCCCTGCTCTGTTGAAGGCAGAGCCTGGGCCCCGAGCGTGGCTGTCCTGGAGCATTACTGTAATACTGGAGTCTGTGGAGAACTTTGTATCCAACTGTGCATACACCTTTGACTATATGATGAATGACAAGGGCCAGGACTTAGAGGAACAAGACCATTAGAATGTGGCAACCTATATGTTTCTATGAATTATTACTATTCTGTTACTAGCTTAATGTTGGCACTACTAAAAGAACACATAACCCCTTTGCTTTTCCATCTCATTGTAGACTTTCATCCCCATGTTATTCTCTAATACATATAAAAGTGAACCAGAAATTTAAAAACAGGCACTTCTTTTACATTTTGTTCCTATTTATCATAATCCAGTTTTTAAGCTAGCTTATTTTCTAATCTTTACTGTGCACATTTTAGCTTCTGGTTAGATTTAAGCCAGTATCTCTTTAATTGCTGAAGAATAATAGAGAGCAACTCGTGCACAAATGGTATTTTGCACTTTTTTTTAGGACTAGCAAATACTCAAAAGTTCCTACTGAGTTCACCAAATTACTATGGTGTCTTACTGTGATATGGTTTTTATTTACAGAATAGGTAGTTATCTTTAAATTAAATCCTTTTAAATATTTTATAGTCTGCTACTGTATGCGTTTCATCAGATGTTTTACTAAGATGTTCAACTTTATTTTTCCCTTGGTATTCTTAGCACCTGAAAATTATCCTAAATCAATGAAAAGCTACCATAGGAAACTTGAGTTTCTGATGAAACACTTGTTCCTTCTTTTAAAGAGGAAAAAAGATGTTGATAGCTACTTCTAGGAAGAGTTGCTCACTTAGATGTTACTTAGTAAAACTAATCCTAACAATTTAGTGACTTCGTTAAAAAATAGGATATCTAAAAGCAAGGAAAGTATTACTTCAGTCCCTTATATGACAGACTTTCTGCTTGAAATGTAAGTATCAGGGAAAATTTTTGTGATTAATACTTTTCCAAATATTTCTAAATATTTTGCAGTAAAGGATTTTTCATGAGACTGTTATGCTCCACTTTTGATTTTAGCTAGTGTATATATATATATACTATTTAATATTTGACGATAAGGAATACTTTCAAAGATAAACTTTTATAACATACCTAGTTCATCAAATCATAAAACGGAGATAATGGCCACAATAATACCCAAACTTCCTAAGGCATTCAGGACCCTGCACCTGCCTTTTCTAATTTTATCACTGCATCACTCCATGCATGGTTAGTGCTTAATTGTCTGATGGTAAATTAATTCATTCTGGTTTGATTGTGATTCAGGCACAGCAGGAACCTGGGAGGAAATCAACTTTTATGCCACTTTGTAGTTAGAATTGGCCATTGCTGACTCCCACCCAAGCTGCCTTGAGCTTCCCTGGTCGAAAGGGGGACAGACCACTCAGAGAAGTGCCTGTCCCTCGTGTGGCTTGCCAGTCCCCCGCTTGGTTCCTCTCCTTCAACCCAGGGCACAGTCAAGACCGATGGGCACGCTTATCCACAGTGAGGTCTTACACGACCTCTACGCTTACTGAGAACTACTGATCTTCTGCCTTGATCCTGTTACACGTTTTCCTTTGGAATCTGAAGTGGCACTGTTTACCTATTGAAGACTATGCCCATTTATACAGGATTCACCTAACTTGAAGAGAATTAATTAGGATGTACATTGAAGATACAGTAATCAACCGGAAGTGTGGCTCACAGGTAGAACTGCCTAGCAAACACAAGACCCTGAGTTCAAACCTCATTACTGAAAAAACAAACAAAAAAATAAAACGAAACATACCGGAATCATCTGGTATTTGTTATAGTATCATACTGACATGTATCATCTGCTTTTGTAGCTATAAATTTTAGTGACTACATTCATAAATTTCCCAATATTTTGCATAAAAATATTTAGTCTTCAAAATGAATGTTTTATGTCCTATGTATTACTAAGCTATCCATATTTAATATGGTTTGCTAAAAGTAATGAGTAGTTTCTGTGTCTATACTAATGTCATAGGGTCTGCCTGCATGTGAATGGACTAGTGAGTGGCAATCTCATTGTGTACAAAATACATTGCTGTTCTTCATTTTACTCTTTCAGCAACAGATGGGTGAGATGAAATTGCATCTTGAAAATGTCATTAAGGAAAATGAAAGGTAAATCAGTTAGCTATTGATTTCTTTGGGTTTTTTGCTTGTTGTAGAAAACTTGTATTTGGTATGTATAAGCCTACCCAGTCACAGTGTAGACTCCAGAGTCTGAGTTTTCTATTTGACTCCTGGTTTCAGTACATGTGGCTTGACCAGTTAGTTGTTTAACATCTTTCTGCTTAGTTTCTGTGTTTGTAAATTGGAGATAGCAGTGCGTTTTTCATAAGACTGACTGTAAGGGAGAAAGCAATGGCTAGAAATACGCTGCAAAGTAAATACTGTAAGTATTGACAGGTACTAACATGATGTGGAATATGTATATGTACATATATATATATATATGCGTATATACATTTGAATTATATGTGTGTTTTACTATGCTCGGTTGTAATTTTACCTTTCTAAAACATTAAACTCTGTGTATGACAAACTGATGGAAATAAAAATCATTTTAATGGTTTGGAATTGTTAATCTTATTTATTCACATAGCACAGTATCTAATGAGGATTAAGCATGTTTGTTTTCATTTGAAGACTAGTTAAAAATTGTTTTGTGGGGCTGGGAAGGTGGCTCAGTGGTAGAGCACTTGCCTTGCATGCTTGAGGCCCTGGGTTCAATTCCTCAGCACCACATAAGCAAAAAGAAAAAAGCCGGAAGTGGCGCTGTGGCTCAAGTGGTAGAGCGCTAGCCTTGAGCTGAAGAGCTGAGGGACAGCGCCCAGGCCCAGAGTTCAGGCCCACAACCGGACCCCCAAAAAAAAAAAAATTGGTTTGTGTAGCTTGGTGCCAGTAATCCTAGCTACTCAGAAGGCTAAGACCTGAAAATTGAAGTTCAAAGCCAGCCCAGAATGACAGATTTTGGAGATATTTACCTCAACCAGTAAAAAGCTGTTCATGGAGGTGTTGCTCAAGTGGTAGAGTACCAATCTTCTGCAAAAAAAAAGCCAAGCACAGGGCTGGGGGTTTAGCCCAGCGGAAGGGCGCCCGCCTGGCACACGCAAGGCCCTGGGTTTGGTTTTCAGTCCTGGAAAAAAAAAAAAAAAGCCAAGTGCTCAAGACCTAGAGTTCAAACCCCAGTACTAGCACAGAAATGGAAAGCAGGAAGGGGAACAAGGGAGAGGGAGAGAGAGTGATAAAGTGTAAAGTACTGTTTTTAATCTGGAAGTTCTTTTTATTAACCAAAAGAGTAATCACTGTTACTAAGATGGGTTTAAATTCTTACGTTAACTGTTGCAAAGGTTGCATGGTGAGCTAAAAGACGTTGTTGAGAAGCAGTTGGAGGCCCTTCCCTTTGATGTAGAGATGGGGAAGGAAGTGTACACAGATGAGGAAGTGGTCATCAGCCTCCAAGAACAACTGCAGCTAGCCAATCAGGTAAGCAACTTCCCAAGTCATATGCCGACTCAGTCATGCGCTATCACTGCTTATGTGAACGACAGAGTGTGACAACCTTGGTAGTACTTGATGACTTTTGGAGATACGAATTTTAGCAAGGGACTGGTTCAGTTGGTAGAGTGTTAGCCTATAAGCAAAAGCATCATGTACAGAATTCCAGTCCCAGTCTCAAAAAAAAAAAGGCTGGGAAGGTGGCTCAGTGGTAGAGTGCTTGCCTTGCATGCATGAAGCCCTGGGTTCAGTTCCTCAGCACCACATAAGCAGAAAAAGCCAGAAGTAGGGCTGTGGCTCAAGTGGTAGAGCAATAGCCTTGAGCTGACAGTGCCCAGGCCCAGAGTTCAGGCCCTACGACTGGCAAAAAAAAAAAAGAAAAAAAAATTAAAACCTGTGATAAATATTTGGTGTATTTGGCAAATAATTTTTGTTGTATGTGTGCTTGTCCTAGGGCTTGAACTCAGAGCCAGGGCTCCACTTCTGGTCTTTTGGGTGGTTAATTGGAGATAAGAGTCTCATACACTTTGCTGCCCAGGCTGGCTTCAAACTCTAATCCTCGCATCTCAGCTTCCTTAATAGCTAGTATTACAAGAGTGAATCACTACTTCTCAGTGTCAAATACTTTTTTAATCAAATCACAAAACTTTTGAATGACTTTTGGGTCTTCTAAGTATTTTAACGTCAAACTTTTTTTAAAAAATCATCAAGAACCTTACTTCCTTACATATACATTTTACAATTTTTGTGTTTTCTCCTGGTACTTCTTTCTTCAAAGATTATAGTGTAGTACTTTTCTAAAGTTTTGTATCTAAAACTACAGTTTTTCTCTGCTTTTCCTTATAATAACTGAAATTTTGGATACCTTGTCACTTTTTCCTGGTTTTCAATGATATAAATATTTTGTGCGTTTTTTTTGCCAGTCCTGGGCTTGAACTCAGGGCCTGGGGACTGTCCCTGAGCATCTTTTGCTCAAGGTTAGTGCTCTACCACTTGAGCCACAGTGCTACTTCCAGCTTTTTCTGTTTATGTGGTACTGAGGAATCGAACCCAGGGCTAAGGCTTCATGCATCCTAGGCAAGCATTCTGTTCCTAAGCCACATTCCCAGCCCCTATTTTGTGAATTTTTGTATGGGGAATTATATTTTACTTCGTAATTTTATATCCAGGTAATTCATATCAAATATATGTTTGAACTATTATCCCATTATCTAGCTGTGTGATTGAAGATGTTTCTTCATTTATAAATAGGTCAAGAAATTTTTTTTATGATTTTGATTTTGAAATTACCTGTGAATAGTCATAACATAATTCCTTGGGAATTTGTCTTTGGAGTTCTTATGAAGGTGATATTTCAATAAATCGGGAAGGCTATAATCATCTTCATACAAAATGTACATATAGCATTGAATTTTCTGTAACGTGTAAGGTAAAGAATTTAAAATTAGGTAAATGATGAGGAAAGCATGTTTTTGTTGTAAACTAGGAGCAGTTTATAATTGTTTCTATAGAAGTCAGTAACAACCATTTTAGTTTTACAAATGCTTTCTTTCTCACTGATACTAAAATGTCTTTCAAAAGCTATGCATTTCTTATTACTTCTGAAATGTTAAGAAACAGTAAAACCACATATCAAGTATTACTTTTGCTTATTACTTCCAATACCTATTTTTGTGTTAATATAGTTGTGCCTGTTCAAGAAACACCCAGTTGTGTGGTTTTGATTACTACATCGAAAGCCCTCTTTGTCAAAGCTTTGAACACTAAGCTATATATAATTTAAAGTTGACTATTGATAGAAAGAAGCACAGCTGGCCATCCACATCAGGGTACTCCATATTTGTGGATTAGACATTTGTGCCAGGTGCTGGTGGTTCACGCCTCAGGAGGCTGAGATCTGAGGATTGAGGTTCAAAACCAGCCCGGATAATAGAACGTCTGTGAGACTCTATCTCCTATTAATCACCAAAAGACCTGGAGTGGCAATGTGATTCAAAGTGGTAGCATGCTAACCTTAAGCAAAAATAGCTCAAAGATAGTGCCTCGGCCCGTATTCAAGCCCCATAAAATATAGATATGTAGATATAGGACATCGACTTGGACCATTTGCAAACTGTTTTCACCATTCGCTAAACAGTATGGTGTGTATAGTATTCACATAGGATTTATGTTCTGTTCAGTATTATGAGTAATAGATGAATGCTTTGAGGTATAAAGCAGGACACAGGTGGGTGATGTACGAATACATTTCCACTGTCTATAAGGGACTTGAACACCTGTACCTGTAGCCTCTGGTATCCTGGAGTGGGAGGAAGGGGCCAGGACCAGAGTCCAGGGGGCTGCCCTGGGGTGACCGCTGTCAGGCATTTGGCAGTTTGAATGTCTTTGCTCGTTGCGCGTGCATTTATTTGGCCTGTGGACAAGCGCTGTGCTTAGACTGAACGGAAAATGGAAAAGTTGGTTCTTTTTGGAACACATGGGCTATTGGGAGAATACAGATGTGATGGAGCTGAGATCAGATGTCTTCATTTCTGTCTCTCTTTCAACTTCTGGAGAACTTCCTCATGGTAATTAAATTAAAAATCCTCCCTAAGTCACTTAATATAATGATGTGTTTTAGTTAATAAACTTACCAATATTTTTTATCTTTGTCATCATTACCAAACAGCAAGAGCAGAAAATAAGAATTAAAATTACATGGAAAAGGTAAATAGAGCAGATTTTTAGAAAATTCTCCTTAGAAATTACCAATGAAAAGATATGATATAAACACACACTGTTCGTATTCCCATTGTGTGTGTGTGTGTTTTAAGTTTTGTTAAAAAAAAAAAAAAATTAGGAGCCGAGCATTGTTGGCTCACTCCTGTGCTTTAGCTACGCAGGAGGCAGAGATCTGAAGATTATAGTTTGAAGCCAATCTGGGCAGGAAAGTCTGTGAGACTGTTATCTTGAATTAACCACCTGAAAATCAGAAGTGAAGTTTTGTCAGCTGTGAGCAAAAAGCTCAGGGACAGTGCCCAGACCCTGCATTCAAGCCCCATAGCTGACTTAAAAAAAAAAATTATGAAACTCTACTTCAGTGTTTACTATTAGGAATTAAAGTTACAAGTAGTTCTTATTTTCTTTTCTTACTCTATTTTTCTAACTTTCTGCAGTGAATACTTACTACTTTTACAGTCGGGAAAAATAAGTATTTCCTAGGAGATGTTTATTCCGTGGCTTCTGAGGCTTACATTTTCTTGTGGAACAAGTAGCGTGGTTTTATTCTGTATGTCTAAATTTAGTTGTGAAATCTGACTAAGGACAGTTCTGTAGGTTTATTCTCTAAATTGTCATTAGTACAATTTCACATCATCAGAGATGCTGTCACTTCCATAGTCAGGCGCGGTGACGTGCTACTCATGGGGGACTGTGTATAGATAGGGGTCTTCTGGGTCGGTATCAGCTAACAGTGACATAGCCACCATGCTTTCTGTAAAGACACTCTGATTCTCACACAGAGGGAAGTTGCCTAACTGCATTTCTCAGAACCTGTTGCCACCATTAAACCAGACGACTTTTTTCACATAGGTTCTGTTTTTACTTTGTAATTTCATAAGAACTCACTTATAAAAGAACATAGTCTATTTGCACTGTGAACTGACAGCAGGTTAACAACTCGCTGTTTGGCAGGAGAAGGCCTGTGCTCTGGGGCTGTGGGAGGCTGCTGCGCAGGAGCTGACCGCGCTACGCGAGCACCACCAGGAATGTGTGGCCAAGGCCCAGGTGAGTGCGCGCGAAAGCCAGAGACAGCGGGTACCCTCTGCCCAGTGAGTCTCTGGCAGAGTAGTAAGAATTGCACTCTGGAGAGGATACTGTAGAGAGGAGCTCCTTATATATATATATATATATATATTGTCAGTACTAGGGTTTGAACTCAGGACCTAACATTTATCCAGATAATTTGGTGATTATAACTCTCTAGTTCTTATTCATCAACTTGGAATTCCTATTGAAAGTACTCCTGTTATTCTCCTTGTGGCTGAGAATTTTTACCTCAGGAAGTCAGAAAGTCCTTGTATGATGCTTTCCAGCTTACAAAGTGGCTTTTCAATACATACCCCATTTGAAATAACTCACGTGTAATTTAGTGTATAGAACTTGTGCCCCGTCAAGTCCTGGCTAGGTACAGCAGTGTTCATTTCTCATCCTAAGCTGTGTGAGAAGAACAGTGGCTTAGTGTAGTACTATGTGCATTCCATCCCGTGACTGAGGGAAGCGGTAAGAGGATTGCACTCAGGGCCAGCCCAAACGTCAAGAAAGCTTTGCCTGAAAAGTAACTAAAACAAAAAGGGGTTGGCATGGTGGTAGAGTGCCTGTGTAGCAAGCACAGGCCCTGAGTTCAAATGCTTGTACCTCCAAAAAAAGAGAGAGAGGTAAGGTCTTTGGGCTGGGCTGTTTTCTCATTTAGATTAAGAACTAAGCCCATGAGCTATTCAGCTTGTGAACAGCCTCTTGTATTTTCACAAATAGTTTTAAAAAGATCACAACAGCTAATTAAACACTTTAGAACTGATGGGCCATGAAGATTCCTTCAGAAATGTTGAGCAGTAGCTCCTGTTTCACCCCCATATCTGGGGTGGGGCACATACAGCCTCTAGGCGGTAGAAGGCCCTCGGTGATCTGGTACATGATAATAGAGACACACAGTGCCTCTCATGGGCTGGCTGCAGCTTCTGTGCCTGAATTGATCATTTTGTATGGTCTGTAATGATAAATACCCAAATGGCCCTTTCGCAGAAAAAGATTCTGCACTCCTGCTAGCATTTCAGATTTGTCATCGTAGATAACTTTGATAATATATGGCTTTCTTAAAAAATATTTGCTACTGGGTTGATTGCTAGGAATAATGATTTTAATAAAAAATGCCTACATTAGTAGTAACATCTTAAGTTTTTAATTATTTAAAAATATTTTTGCATTCTTTGACTTAGTTGACTTAGTACAAACAGAATTTAGTGTTGATTTTAATTGCTACTGATATACCTCTCTTCACTAGGATCAGCAACCAACTCAAAACCTTCATGCTGTTAAGAACATAGAAATGGTAAGTGACAATATCATTTAAGTAAACTAGCAGTTGTCACTGCAGATGTTGTACTAACTTAGATCAGTAGCAGCAAGCGCATGTGAAACCACAGTAGGTAGGCAGTCCTCGGTCTCATTATCTTCTTACATACTCAGTAACGGCACAGACACAGCACCTTGTGGAAAGTTTGCAATTCAGTCCATCTGAAAACCCTGTTGAGATCCTTGCTAAGATCTCCTAGGAGAAATGCAGACCTTGAGCTCCTCAGTGGTAGAATACACTTATTGTTGTTTCATCCTGTTTGCATATGTAATAATAATGTAAGTCTGTGTTTAATGAGTAAATTACTTATTTCTCAGACATGAAACAAAAAACAAGTAGTTAATTAACCATCAGTACTAACATTAGTACATGTGAATTTCCCTATAATTTCTCAAAACATTTCATCAGACCTCCCATTTCTGTTTACATTCTATTTTTTCACTTTCTATTCTTTTACCTTATCAGAATTTCATTTGTACTCATTGTGGAGTAATAGAATTATGACAGTGTGTACAATCATTCTCTCATTCTTACTTAGTTGCTCTGTTAATCCTTACTAGTACCAAAAACAGTAGCATTGTGTCATCAAAACTAAGTTATCCAGTTTTTGACTTCTTTTCTCTCCTTCTTTCTCTTTTGAACATACAAAAATTAATAAACAAGTGCCTCCCCTATTTATACTAATAGTAGAAATTACTAGTCTCAGTTTTTGACAGTATACTAGAGTTTTAAGATACTGATGAAGTACTCTAGAACAAAATGATTAAATAAATGAGCTGAAAGATCTTTAATGTATATAATAAGGCTTCTTCAGCCGGGCGCCTGTAATCCTAGCTACTCAGGAGTCTGTAATCCTAGCTACTCAGGAGTCTGAGATCTGAGGATCTCGATTCAAAGCCAGCCCGTGCAGGAGAGACCATGAGACTCCTATCTCCAATAAACCACCAGAAAACCGGAAGTGGCGCTGTAGCTCAAGTGGTAGAGCGCTCGCCTTGAGCTGAAGAGCTGAGGGACAATGCCCAGGCCCAGAGTTCAAGCCCCATGGCTGACCAAAAAAAAAAGGCTTCTTCAGAAAATTAAGGTTCCCAGTTGGATATGCCATAAGATACGGAATGTTTCTAGGCATTGTTTGTTGTTTGGAGACTTTCACTGTGTATATGTGATGGATTAAATCATTGATCACTGGAAGAAAGATGGAAAACTTGAGAATTCCTGCCTTCTGATCACATGGTCCTTTCCTTCAAGATCTCACCCTTTGGCATGCTTTGCCAGAGACCAGGGTTTTGGAACTACTTTTGGGACAGTTCTCAAGAAATTGGGAAACCATTACAAAACAATGCCCAATGTTACACTTGGTTGTTTGTTTAACTTTTTTGTGTGGCTCTGTCTAACTCTCAGTATTGTATTCTTCTTAATGTAGTAGTTTGTCTCTTAAATTGTACTTTATGAATTGAATACTTAGTCTGTTGTACAGATGTGTAAATAAAGGTATGTATTTCTATACCTCAATCTATTTAAAAGGCTGTTATGGCCAGAAACACATAAACCTGATCTATCATTTAAAATATACTGTATCTTTTACTGTAAAAATATAGATCATTTTATCAAAATGCAAAAGGGAAATTGTTAATTCCACCGAGAGTGAGGGGCCAGTCCGATTGTTGAAGTCACATGCAGGCAGAATGGATATGTCTCAGGCAAGACAAAGGAGTGTGGTAAAATAACTGGGAAGAGGATGGGAAAGCTGGAGAGTCCCGAGGATGGTCTGTCAAGAGTATTAGTGAAGCGGTGACAGGCCTGTATATGCAAAGGAGTCTGTCCTCATGGGAGAACCAGGAACCACCCTTCTTTACAAAGCCACTGAGTGGCCTCAGGGTAGCTCCTATTCTTGCCCTGGTGCTAAGTCTGCATATGGAGAATACTAGCAGGAATTAAGCCTACTATGAATGGTTACAGTACTTCAAGAGTCCAGCAGGACTCAGCCTACAAACATCCTGTTCTGTCTACTCTTTTTTTTTGGGGGGGGAGTCCGGTCGTGGGGCCTGAACTCTGGGCCTGGGCACTGCCCCTCAGCTCTTCAGCTCAAGGCTAGCGCTCTACCACTTGAGCCACAGCGCCACTTCCAGCTTTTTCTGCTTATGTGGTGCTGAGGAATCGAACCCAGGGCCTCAGGCATGCAAGGCAAGCGCTCTACCACTGAGCCACCTTCCCAGCCCAACTGTCTACTCTTGTTTGGTGATCAGACAGAAAACCATCTGCTAACCCCTCATCCTCCACACCAAGTCAGTTGCAAATGATAATTGTTTTCTCATTAAGGAAGAAATAGGATCTTGTCCTTTTGTTATTTTGCCTTTTTCGATATTTGTTTTACTGTATTTCTCACCATTTTTATGTCTTCATCCATATAGCTTCATCTCTTTTCTCATTTGCCTCTCTTTTTCACTTCCTTATCTCTTTTATTTTTATAAATTTTTAGTCATTTTACTCTAATTTTTAAATTCTTAATTCATCCCATGAGTACTGAGATGTTTATTTTTTATTGTAGATGTGGTTTTTAACCACATTTAACTTTCTGGCTTGTTTTTGAGTTGTTGCTGCTGCTGTCTTCTCTCAGGGTGGCAGTGGGGGTCCAGACCTCAGGAGAAGTTTGCTGGCTAAGAATACCCCTGTTAAAACCTGAGGACAGATCTGTCTCAACCAGTGTACAACCCACAAGGAAGAAACACAAAAGGCTACGGAAAGACAAAGCAAAGAAGTTGGAAATTTTAAAACTACTTTGAGAAATCATAGGAAAACACATCAAGACGTAAAGATAGGCAGCTTTCTAAATACCATTCCAGTGGTTGAGGAAATAAAAGTAAGAACTTACAGAATGGATTACAACAAATTAGAAAATTCTTACACTCCATAGGAAACAATTACCAGAGTGAAGAGAGTTACAGAGTGAAAAAGGGAATCTTTGATAGCTATTAACTAGAAAAAATTAATAATAAACACACAAAGAATAAATAAAGCAATTAATAATTGGGCAAATGAATTGAGCAAGCAGTTCTCAAAATAAGTACAAATAACCAATGAATCCATGAAGAAATACTCAACATCTTTAGTCCTAAAAGAAATACAAATTAAAATTACATTGAGACCTGGATTAATGGATAAATGAAGTATGATATATGTACTCAATAGAATTCTATTTGGCCATAGAGAAGAAAAAAATGTATTTGCAGGAAAATGGGTGACAACAGAAGACTATCACATTAAGGTGGTCTCATAAACAAGTATCACTAAGAGCCGTGGGAGAGCCAGAGGCATACAGTACAAGTAGAACTATTAGGTGTAGAAGGGGAAGGGGAATGAACTGAGGCGAATTAATGTGTGCTAATAAAAACCCTCCTAAAGGAAATCCAGAAATCAGCAAGTCCTGATGACCCACCACTATCCACCCAGTACTTGGGAGGAAGAGGACCAGGGATTCCAGGTCAGCTCGGACCATACAAGGGCAAGACCCTATTTCAAACATAACAACACATCATGTTAAGTGAGGTAAACAAAGCTCAGAAACAAACACCAGATTTTCTCTCATATGCAGAAATTAGATCTAAAATTCACTGGAACATGATAAACTATATGGAACTCTAGGCATCCACACACAGTGAGACCACAGGAGGGTACTCTCGGGAGAGGAACACACCGGTGTACAGATGTGCCTCTGATCCTAAAATTAATACTTACTGAAATGAACTCTAGGAAATGCTTTTTTCTTCATTGCTATTTTTGTCTTGTTTGTTCATTTATCTGTCTTTGGGAGTATTATGGGAGGCACAGAAATGAAGGGACAAATGGTGAACAAATGCAGCAGTGATACTCACTGGACACTGTTAAAAATGAACTGTGTAACTTGTGAGTGGGGTCTGTAGGGAAAAACTGGGAGTGAGCAAGGGAGGGGGTAACATTGTCTAAGAAGAAATATACTCTTTGTCTGACTTACAAAATTGCAACCCCTCTATAAGTCACTTTTTAATAACCTTTTTAAAAAAATTTAAGTTAACAAGCAAAACAAGGAAGAACATTAGCCCAGTAACTGAAGATTTGGTCCCCTTGTGAAGTCTGAAGGCCTTGTTACTACACCGTGCTGCATTCTTTCTACTCTAATTCCATCCATCAGCCACATCAGGCTGTTCAGTAACAAGATAGAACATTAATTCTACAACAGCTTTCTGCACAGGTATATGAACAAAAGATTATGTAGCCAGAAAGGAACATAAGATATGCAGGCAGTTTACAGCAAAACTGATAGATGATAGTGAGAAAAGTCCAGGGTTACATTTTTCCTTCAAGAGCAATCATAAAATGAATCCTGCTTCATTTTCTTTTACTGAGGTGCCTTATGGCTACTTTTTCAAGACAGCTCTAATACCACGTTTGTTTTCTTACCACAGGCTACCGAACACTTCCTGAAGGCAATTGCGGAACAAAATGCAGAGATCCAGCAGCTCCGAAAACAATTTCGGTATTTTTAAAGAGTAATTTTGCTGTTTTTATTTAGGGAAACTGATAATGCTGTAATTTTTCAAATGGGCTTTTTTCTTTCTCCTTTTTATTAGGCTTCTGTCAGTACTGTTCTGTTATGTTTGGTCACCTCGGGTGGGAGAATATGGAAATTGAGTGAGTCAGGAGACAATTATACAGCTGCAGGAGTACATCATGGTGATAAAGCCAGTTGTCTGGTAGTAGGGAGGAAAGAGACAGGTCTTAAACAGAGAGGACAGCATCGCCATTAAACATCCTCCTTGGGCTTCTGTGAGCAGACCCTGGGAAACGGGGTTTCAGAACCTGTTGTTTGTCTCAGAGGTGATGACAGGTATACCAGAAGGGAAGGGGGGAGCCGAGACTGGGAGATAAAATAATGCCAATGCTCCTCACCTTTTAAGAGACTTGCATCACAATAAGCATCACAATAAAACCATCCTTAGTTTGAAATTCCCTAAATCCAAAGTGCAGTTGCACACCTAGCCCCAGCACAGCCAGGCTGCAGGGCCTCAGCACTTGCTGACTGATCCCAAGGCCGATGTGTGCTTGCTGGTCACTGCATCCGTCCTCGGCTTGGCGCCAGGCTATGTGCAGCCCGGGGCACTCGATTTCTAATGAAGTCACATCCATTTTGAACCAATGCAGGGCCACCATAGGTGTTTCTTTCTTTCTTTCTTTTTTTTTTTTTTTTTTACAAATTATACTGCTTCAAATTCATACTTTTTTAGTGATTTAATAATCATTGCATTTACTGGATTTCACAGTATGACTTTTTTTTTTTAATACTTCCATTTACTTCAGGCCTAATACTTATATCACTGTGTTTTAAAACAGACTTTTATGGGGTTTTTTTTGTTGTTTATTTTTGTTTGTTTTGTTTTACCAGTCCTGGGGTTTGAATTCAGGGCCCAGGCACTGTCCCTGAGCTTCTTTTGCTCAAGGCTAGCACTCTACCACTTGAGCCACAGCGCCAGTTCCAGCTTTTTCTATGTGGTGCTGAGGAATGGAACCCAGGGCTTCATGCATGCCAGGCAAGCACTCTACCACCTTCCCAGCCCAACAGACTGTTTTAAATGACTGTCATTCTTGGCAGCACGGGGCCTTATCAGGGACCTTCGGAGGCTCGGTAAAAAATAGCTTGTCACTTAGGAAGTATAAGGGGTACCTCCACCCCTAGGGCCTGAGACAAAATTGGGCATATTATTACATGCCTGTAGCATAAGAGAAAAGTGAAAAGATCATAATGCTATTAATTAAAGATCTTATTGTTTATTTTTTAAATGTATAACAAGTTTAGGTATCTTTTATTTTATTAAAATGAGATAATAGAGGCCCTGAATTAGTCTTAATTTTTTCACTTTTTGTCATATGAAGATGCTATCAATACATCATTTTTGTAATGCTGGAAGTAATACTGTTTTTAATATTGTATGGAATGTTACCATTCTTCCCATTGTCAAGATTGTTATGTGGATGCACCTGTGGTGATAATAAAGTACCCTGAGTTCTGAGAATTGACCATTGAGCTCAGTAATGTGGGGCTTACCATAACAAGCCACCAAAAAGTGACTTGCTAACAATTTGTTCTTCTATTAGTTTTGGATGCTAGAAATATAAAATTGATGTATCAGTGCAGAATTCTTGGTATAAGAATCTTTCCTATGCCAGGTGTGGTGGCCCACGCCTGTAATCCTAGCTACTCAGGAGGCTGAGATCTGAGGATCGCAGTTCAAAGCCAGCCTGGGCAAGAAAGTCCATGAGACTCTTATCTCCAATGAACCACTCAGAAAACCAGAAGTGGTGCTGTGGCTCAAAGTGGTAGAGCCCTAGCCTTGAGCAAAAAGAGGTCAGGGACAGCGCCCAGGCCCAGACTTGACAACAACAACAAAAAGGAATCTTTCCTTACATCATTAGCTTTTGGTGTGTGTAGCTTGTGGCGGCACAACTCTAGTTAGTTGGTATTCTTCTCTGTCCCTGCTTCTGTGTCTTCTCTTACTAAAGGCATACTAATTGTTGGTGTAGAGCCCGTTTGCATCGTGAGTGAGTTCTTCTTGAGACTTTAGCCCTAATCACATCTGCAAGGACGGTGCTTCTGAGTAACAAACTGCCGGAGTGTCGGGGAGGCCTGGTCTGACCTTCATCACCAGTTTGGCCCCAGTCGGTGTTTCTGCGCAGGTCATGTGGACCTGGCCAGTCTGGAGAAGCTTGTGAACCTTCACGTCCAGCTTTTTAAGAAATTAGGCACACGTTTTTCTGTATTTTATCTTCACTGACACACAGTGACAATTTTGTCAGATGTATGTGCAGCTGCTGTGCTTCCGTCGGGTTTCTGTTTTGTGTCTGTTCTCCGTCCGTTCACTTCAGTCTGTTTCCAGCTGTCTTTGCAACTCAGCTCTCTGTGCGCACTCCCTGCTGGAGGAAAGCTGGGAACCAGTCAAAACCGTTTTCTAGGCCACTCTGATTCTCAGGCGGTTTCTCACTTAGCTAGCAGAGTGGGAAATGTTTTTGATGTTTGGAGACACAAAAATGCAAAAATCTCCCTGGCCACCAGGTTTGACCAAGACCTCTCTTGAGATAACTTTCTCCACAACTTTTAATGGATAACCAATGAGCGTCTGAGCCTGGTTCCCTGGCAATATTCACAGCAGTGAGGAACACCAGGATGAGTGTTGATTGGGAAAGAAAGGATCATAGTGAGTACGGTGATTTTTTTTTTTTCATGTCTGTGGAAAGAAGGCTCATTTGGCTTGTAGACATTCGCTTAAAGGTTAAGAGTTGAAAGTAAATAGAGACTGGTAAAACAAATTGGGGTTTTCTGAAGCCCTCAATGTCTTAAACATTGAGTTGTCCTTAAGCAACTTTGCCATAATATTTACTGACTGTATTCCATAGCTGATCATTGAGCAGCTCAGAGTTGTGTGCATAAAGCTATGCTTGCTTCCCTGCCACAGGCTTGAAAAGGCATAAGGACAAGCAGATGCCTCTTCTACAGAAAAATGTGCCACTTTCAAGTTTGACAGATTTCGAATGATGGGCATATTGACATCACCAGAACTTGAGTTTTAAGATGCTGTGTGTCACCATGCCAAGAATAACTAAATAAGAAACCCTTAAGCACAAGTTTGTAATTACACTGGATACACTTACTTTTCCTTCCCTCTTTTCTTTCTCCTTCCCTCCCCTTCTCTTCCCTTTTTTCCCTCTCCTTGTCTCCCCTCCCTCCCTCCCACCT